GGGGGGGCATGCCCCCCCCCCTCCTGGCGCCCCTGCAACCTTGTTAAAAGTTTGAGAAGACATGCAGGTGAAGTGTAAGATTGGTAAGAGACGCCATGGAAGCCTCTGGGAAGGAGGGAAGGATAACCTGCCCGGTCTCGGTCCGTCACTCTGCTCCTTCTTCCCAAACATGCTCTGCCTGCAGATTATCTCATCTTTCCATCCATCAGTCATTCCTGTTTTCAGCAGGTTATCTTAGAGGGCCTGTTGCTGTGGTAACCATTCTTGCTTTTGGATGGAGCCCAGGATTGTAAAAAGAAAAATAAATAAATAAATAAAAAGACGAGCTGGGTCTCTTCCCTTCAAAGGCTAAGATTTAAAAGAGGGCTCACTGGCAGGGTTACAACATTTGAGCTTGGCTATGGTAAGCGATAGACCCAGTGGAGAATCCAGTGAAATATTAGTCTGGCTTTGTATACAATTTTAAAAAGGGAGTAAATGGACTTTAACTAGGCTTCCAGAACGGAGAAAGAACAACACGCCAGTTCAATGGGAGTGGAGAAAAACACAGGAGAGGCAGTGGGAAAATAAAAGATAAAGAGGCCATTTAAAAGAAGTCAAAGATGGCAATGACACCGACTCAAAAGAAACAAGATGCAGCAGCCAAGAACGTAGAAGTTGTTTTTATCAAGTTCATTTTGTCGTCTGGTTCTTATCCTCAGTCCAAAATATACGATTACATCACACTGAGCATGGGAAACAAACCCGAACCGACATAAAGAGGCTCTGAATGTCCTGCTTATCTCTTTTGGGTCAAGCTGCAAATATTTTTAGCATTTGTGAAGCACCATTCTAACACCATGGTTTTCATCTTTGAGAAGAAAAACATTGTAGCCATGCAAGAGACAAAAATCCCATTTAATAACAGTTCATAAACTATAATGGGGACAGCATATTAATTACTATCAAAGAAAAAATAGGGAACTAATTTTTGCTGTAGGTTTCTTCGACAATACGGTAGCCTGTTCTTATGGTTACTGAAGTCATCGTGATACATAGTTACTTCAAAACCCGAGAATAAATTAGCTCAACATGTAACCTCAAGGACCTCAAACCAAAACTATCATTTCTGAGTCCCATCAATTGTCTCTTTGGAAAAATATCAAAGGGAAGTCATGTCACAGAGAACTTTGAAGCCAAATTCATGACCAAGGTTGGTGAAAATTAAGAGGCGATGCAGAAAGGAACTTAAAAAAGGCACATTTTTATAGGAACCACAAACATGTTTTATTCACAAAAATGGTGCTGTCATACAGACAAAAACTGAGGGAAATAAACAACTTTAAGGTTGCCCTGACAGTCTACAAGCATCTTGTACTGTCTACCACTGGCACCAGCTCTTCTCTTCATGGTTTCCTCCTAAATTAAAGCTTCTCAACATTTCATGTCACAATTACATAAATTAAAAAAAAACAAAGGAAGAGGGTGAGGAAATATTAAAACAAGCTGAACAGAGACACACTGTATGGACTGAATCATGATTGACAAGCGTTCTAAAGCAATACAAAGAAGATCAACCTGTTCTTATTTAAATCCACTTTCCGCTGCAGAAATTCTGAGAAAGAGAACAGTGCTGGTAATCGGAGGTGGATATATGGGGTTTTATAAACCCTTACTGGAGTGTCTGTATTAGTGAGTCTCAGTCCAAATGCCCCCAAAGCTGATGAGCTGGTTAGTTACAGGGTGGTCTGCACAACCAGTGGCCTTCTTTCCTAAAGAGAGCCCAGTCTTTCTAGTAACATAAGCACCAAAGCATCATTTTCTTCTGTAAACACTGCTTCACTGACAGTATTTACTAGTTGATATTAAATTGAGCAATTTGCAAAAGAAAACAGAAAAGAATGCCTCTTCCCTCTGTTTCATCAGTGACCTAAAGAGATTCTCTAACTTGACTGCTTGTCAGGCTTCTCCACCGAGACACGTCAGGCCACCCTGCATGGCAAGAGTTCAGATCTGCGTTGCATCAAGACGGCTCTCAGGTGGCCACAGAACTGACAATCTGGACAACCTCGCCATTGTCTCCATGGATGGCACCATGGATGGCTTCTTTTACRTCCATCTCAGCCTGCAGGGCTGGAGTCAAGTCAGCAGCCTATGAAACAAAAAAATAAATAAACAAAAGGAAAGGGATTGATAATTGGAAATAAGCTGAAATCTTTACATGTAAGGCACTTTATGTTCTAACAAACCTAAATAACTCTGAAATCTTCACGTCACTGATTAATGTTGCTATCTGAGCTCAAGAGCACTTTGAGAACCGCTGTCACTCAACACGGTTCACTGCTTTACAAAGCAAAAATAACGCATTAAAAAAAGGAAGAAGACATAAAATAACYGGACACAAACTGAGTTCTCTAGGTATGAGCTCATCTCAGATGGACATGAAGATGGTGGACACATGTTCTGTGGTCAGATGAGTTCACATTTAAGCTTCGTTTTGGGAAACATGGGCAGGGTTTTCTACGTGCTGGAATTAAGAAACATCATTCAGATTATCACACAAAAAAAGCAATGTTATGAGGATACATCAACGCTCATGGCATGGGTTTTTGGTATATACAATTGTGAAAAAATGAAATCACAGCCTTTGTCAGAGCTAAGGCTAAATGAATGAGGACACTATGCAAAATAAACTTTGGTTCTTAAAATAAACAGAACCTTAGACGAACAGTCCTTGACAAGTTAGATTATGCAATCATTTAGCTATAAAACTGAGACACAATCTATGACACTGCTGAGCTGATATTTATCATGAATGGACATTAAATCCACTTGTATAACTTCAGAAATGATTATCCTCAGTTTTCAAACAAAGGGWGATTGAAAAGATGGCTGATAAAATAGTTATTAACAAGCCAATACACAGATTCTTTTTTTTTTTGCTGAAACACGGATAAAAATTGTTTCCTGTAAAGGCTGACCATGGCTCAGCCTTCGCCATGTCCCACAGTGGGAAATAATCAAAGAGAATGGACTAAAAACAGGAGAAGAGAAATGACAAGAGAGATCAGAGAAAAAAAAAGTCTAAAAAACTAAATGAAGACAGTAGACAGTGAAAAAGACKAGAGAGGAAGCAAAGTGACAGGTTGAAAGGCACTTCAAAAGAATCAAGACATTTTTTTGTAATACTTTCTGACCATTTTTCTGCTTGGTGTCAGAAAGAGCAAGGTAGAGTGTGGAAAAAAAAATAAAGACCCTTAAAGGAGGAGAGGTTCATGACTCAGTCCTGGATGTTGACCATGAAGTGTGACTCACTCCTTCCTTGAATAGACGCCAAAGGTTTCCTCAAAGACACCTGCATCATTTAATCCTCCCTCCAGCCCAGCATGTTGTCACGTCACAACTGCTTTGACATGAGCCCAGCTGCACCGAGGCAATACGCAAAACTTAACTTATGCGCATGAAAACACACTGCAAGAACAGGCATTATAGGAGCAAAGCTATGTGTTGTTTATTATAGTAGGTAACTTGGCATGAAGAGACTAAAACGTTTGCATCCACAGAGACTGAAATGTTATATCTATGTTGTTTGGTTTGGTTAAAAAGAAATCATCTGKGTTTATCTGGTTGGTCCGGTTCATCTGGAGTTACTGTCAATCACCATCCGCTATGATAATATTTCAGAGTATTATTTTTCCACAAATTTGAAACCAATCGTTATATAACTGGATGAACTGTACATTTTGATCTTTTTCTTCCAGACCTTTCTTCAAAAAAAGGAACTTAAATTATAATCGGATGAAAAACCAAGTGTCAAATTTTAGCCATCACTGACTTGCAGAAAGAGCCCTTGGAATGCAAAAATGTCAATCTGTGTTAGCTCTTAGCTTATCGGTGTAGTGGAAACAATTAAACAAAAAGAAAAGAAAATGTAGAGACAAATAAATACATCAGACAGAGTCATTTTTCAGTAAGCTGTATAAATGCTACCACATGTCTGGAAACTGATGAGAGCCTGCCTATTGCTTTATATTACTCCAAAGGGTGAACAAATGAACAGGACTAAACTTTTTCTCAACTATGACCAACAATAAATACAACCTAGAAAATAAAAACCCAACTGTGATAACAACACACACTGTAACAAGCAGGACAAGACATTAACCTCCTAAAATTTCACACAGTATTCTTTTTGTTGTTTATTATTTGTGTGTGTGTATGTGTGGGGGGGGGGTCAAATTGAGCACATAACATGTATTTTATAACACCTTTAATAACTTATAACTTATTAGATTAAATCTCATTTAGTCAATGAAAAATTTGACATCACTTGCTGTATTTCTATCAACAAGCACACCCACATGACCTCACTAAGCCTCCAACTATCCTGAACAGAGCACTGAAGAATGATCAAACCATTTCACTAGAGACAAAACACTAGAGAAAAAAAATCTTTTAAAACCGAAAAGTTCATTCAAACAAATCAGTAATGTAAACAAACAATTTGATTGCGCCAAAAAGTATGGAGCGCAGATCTTTGAAGACATCATGGGGTGATGGCCTTTGTGTACATTCATGAATACACAATTAGAAATCCTTTGAGGCTTATCAGTTTGTCTGATCCACACCCAGAAAAAACAATCAATATCCCTGTCTTCTCCCTCTCACAGGCAAGAAACCAATTACCTAGCCAACTATGGACAACAAAAAGACAACAAAACAGGATCATATGGAGTGGGTGCAGGAAGTCTTTACAGGGAAATTCCAAAACCGTCTGCATGGCTGGTCAGCACATTTGTTGTCTGCATGTCTGAAAGGATACGAATATTATCAGTCACATTGCAAGGTCCGCTATGGGATCCTTATTGAACTGGGGTGGCATTTCAAATGGGTATAAATCATCTCTTTTAGCTTTGTTTATACTATAACAAAACAACAAACACTTGTTTAAGAACTTAAAGGTACCCATTACAGCATTCACTTAAAACGAAAGAAGCAGTAAAGAGAAAATGAAATGTTACATTTGATATATTTATGGAAAGCAAAGAAGAAAGAACAATGAGAGAGCTGTTGTTTTAAATCCCTAGCCGGAATTAAATGACCACTTCAAAGGCCAGCCTGCCATGTGCCTGCACACCACCCTGATTCAACACGTAGCTGTTGCTCAACAAGGGATTTCAGGCATTTTACTAACTACTAGTTTTCTCCTGGTATTATTTCATGAGACTGAGTCCCTCTTTAAGTTTAATTATTGCTTGTCGACCTGCCATGAAGACGAAAATTTAAAAGGTAATTTATTTTAAAAAAATCAAAATAAAAAAAAAACATCAAACTTGTAACACCTACTTTAGCTGTATTATTTAGATTACAATTTTCTATTTCAGCATTGGAACAACTGCATCAAAAATTCCAAAATGCATATCAACATTATGAGATTGATCAAAACATGAAAGCGTAGGAAAGAAAAACTACAGACTTCTTATTTTATCTTATTTATCTTACAAAAGTAGGGGGAAAAATACCAATTTGTCCTTAATGTACAACATTTACACTCACCGGCCACTTTATTAGGTACACCACGCTAGTAACGGGTTGGACC